CTGGAGCTTATGGGAGGAAAAAAAAAAAAATAGCCATTTGATAATGTGCATGGCCCTCTGAAGATGCACATGGCCAGCATGGCTCACCAGGAGGCGCCAGGACCTCAGCGGTCTCCCTGCTCTGGGTCTGGCATCCTATTGCAGGCTGGGGAACAGGGGCCTGTGTCCAGAGCAGGCAACATGGAACCTGCCACAGGGGAATGCCCACCATGTCTCTGCTCATTCTGGGAAAATGCGAACCCTTCCCAAGTGCTGGCTCTGAAGCCGCCAGCCATCAGGTCCAGATGTCTCTTCACCCTACAGTATGCACTGTGGTCAGCAAGCCTGCCACAGCCAGGTGGGCAAGCAACAGGCACTCAGTAGGTGTCTTAAAGGCTCATAAGCATGCCCAGAGGTGCTCTATTCCCAGGGCTGGGGAAAAGGGGGGCCTGACAGCCTCTCTTCTCAAGAAGGTCTTGACTGATTTGGGAAAATAGATCCAAGCTCAGTGGAAAAACCACAATCCCCAAAAGTCTGGGCTGGAGCCTGAGTGTTTTCCAGACTGATTTCCTCAAGACCAAGGCACCTGGTGGTAAGCTCTTTGTGTGCTCTCTGAGCCTAGGGTAGGGCCTGACATGGAAAAGGTGCTTAATAAATGTTTATTATATATTAAAAACATTTATAGCAGCATTGCTTCTAATAGCAAAAATGGAAACCCAGGGGGCTGGGATTGTGGCTCAGTGGTAGAGCTTGGGACGCATGAGGCACTGGGTTCAATTCTCAGCACCACATAAATAAATAAATGAAAAGGTAAAATATTGTTGTCTATCTTCAACTAAAATAATAATAATAATAATAATAATAATAACATCCTGAAATCCAAAGGAGTAAAAGTAAGGAAATGAATGAAAATAACAGGGTTGGTATTTTAAAAATCATGTTCTTAAAAATATTTGAATCTGAGAAATGTTAACAAACAGCAAAGGTCACAAAACTACAAATCTATATCTATCTATCTCTGTGTGTACATGTTTGGGAAAAGATGCATCGGGAAAATATTAGAAGAAAATACACCAAATGTTAGCTGGTTTTCTGTAGGTGGCCAGATTACTGAACAACTTTCCAAATTTCCTATAAAGGGCATGAATAATTTTTGAAATCCAACTTAAGCAGTTCCTAAAGTTCAAGGAGGGAGGGTTGGTGATAAAGCTCAGTGGTAGAGCCTTTGCCTAGTGTGCATATGGCTCTGGGTTCCATCCTCAGCACCAAAAAAATAAATAAATAAATAAATAAAAAATAAAAAAAGAAAGAAAAAGAAAATTGTAGAAGCAGTAACTTGAAGGCTCTGCAGACAGTCAGGCCCCCCAGATGATACAGGACCTGGGGTACCTAAGGGGCCAGCAGAAAGCCCAGCAGCACCAGACCCCATCTTTGGTGAGCTCTGCGCAGCCCTCCTCCGAGCTCTGCAGTAGGTGGAACCTTCCCTGGGTTTGACAGTGCCCTCGATGGAACGCCAATTGCTGTACATGGCTCAAGCCCAATTCCGAACACTCCTCTCCCCGACCCCACCTCGGGGCCTCTGCACCTGCTGAACTCGCGTCCTCTGTCTTTGCGAGCCGAGAGCAGGGACAGGAACCACATCTGGGACGCCCTCAGTTTTGGGAAAGATGCATCTTTTCCCAAAAAGAAGTCAACTGAGGCACTCTGCACCCTTCGGTAGGGTCTTGGTCGTACTTAGTAGGCTACTGCCTCATCCCGGGGACCCTCCGCCCTGGGGGTAATGCAGCGCAGCCCCTCTTAGTCTCCAGCACGCGGGGTGCATCCATTCCGCCTGGAAGAAGGGTGGCCCACCTCCTCCTCCTCCTCCAGGAAGCCCTCCGACCGGGGGGCCAGCGGCTGCCCAGAGCTTCCTCCCTCGCCTGCAGTCGCCCAAAGCTTACTGGTGCGGGGCACTCCTCACCGGGGACCGCGGTCGCAGACTTGCAGCGCGCGCGAGGCGCAGTCCCTGAGGGCTCCCTGGAAGCGGCGGCTCGGCGGATGGGCGGGCGGGGCCGGGCAGAGGACTCGCGACGCGTGGGCCCCTGTGCGGTAACAATAGCCCGCTGCCCACCACCCCCGGAGGCCGCGCGCGCTTACCGTCTCAGAGGCCGCCTCCACCAGGCCCTGGCTCATGGCTGCAGCGCTGCCGGGCCGCCGCAGCACTCGGCACCGCGATCCAGGTCCGCGGCCCGCCAGGCCGCCTGCTGCCATGGCAACCGCGCCACGCCACGGGCCCCGGATGTGGCACCGCCCGGTGAGCCGGGCGACCGTAAGCGAACGCGGAGGCGGCGGGCCGACCGGAAATGCTCCCGGAGTTGCTGGCTCAGCGCGGTGGAGCGCAGGCCCGCGAGGTGCAGAGCCGCGCTGGGCTTCGGCGTGCTTCCCGGCTGAAGTTCCACAGAGGCTTCGTGCCGCCCTTGCAGCTCTCACCATAGGAAGAGCAAGGGGACGATTAATCAGGAATGCGTTTTTATCAAGTTAATGTGGAAAGACAGAGATGGCTTGTCCAGGCAGTCCCCAAGATGCTTAGGTTATTTGGGCTCCAACATTCATGTTATTAGCAAAGGGTGGTTTGCTGTCTCGACCCAGGCCTCCAAGGCCGGCTGTCCACATCTTCTCCATGCCCTCTCCCTGCTCTATTTCTCCAGGATCTGACACTTATCTATAAGAACATGCAGTGTCTGGACTGGAAGCCGCTGGCAGTGGTTCTGTGTTCGCTCTCCGGAACAGGGTCTGGCAGGAAGCAGTTATCCAATATATAGAGACCTTTTATTTTATTTGTTTATGTATTTATTTATTTATTTTTAAACAAATAGACATTTGATTCCAGCGAGTCCGATGACCTTGGCCTCTGCTTCAAGTGGAGCGTGAGAAAAGGGCTGTGGGGCTCAGTATGTGTTCAGTGTTGAGAAGAGTAACCTGCCCCATAGTGAGGATAGTGTGGCTCTGTTGTGATTTTATGATGGAGGGATGAACAAACAGGTATGCTTCACTGGTTGCTAGTTCTCTTGTTCTGGCCACCACCCCAAATTATGAGTCTGTGGTCCTTTTTCCCCCTCAGTTTCCCCATATTTGTGTTTTCATTGGGGCCTCCCCTCAAGCAGGGTAGTCCAAGCTGGTTAGTGGTAGCAAGGTCAGAGTTTGGACACTCACTGTTGTCTTCTTGTCTGCAAAATGGCAATGATTCCAGGGATTTTTTCTTTTTTTTGTATCAAAAGAGAAAACAAAATTTAGCACAGTGCCTGGCACATAGTTAGCACTCCTAAAACAGAAGCTAACAGGTCTAACAGTCTTTGTAAAAACTTCCATTTGCACCAGGCATGGTGGCACATACCCATAATCCCAGCCAGCCTGGGTAATTTAGCAAGACCATATCTCTAAATTAAAAAAGGGTCTAGGAATGTAGCTCAGTAGCAAAGTGCCCTGGGTCCAATCCTCAGCATAGGGTGGGGAGCTTTACATTGCTTCCAGGAATTGATCACGATACACCAGTTTTTGGTTTTTTTTAAATATTTATTTATTTTTTTAGTTTTTGGCGGACACAACATCTTCGTTTGTATGTGGTGCTGAGGATCGAACCCAGGCCGCACGCATGCCAGGCGAGCGCGCTACCGCTTGAGCCACATCCCCAGCCCTTGTTTTGTTTTTAATATTTATTTTTTAGTTGTAGTTGGACACATTACCTTTATTTTATTTATTTTTATGTGGTGCTGAGGATCGAACCCAGGGCCTCACATGTGCTAGGTGATCACTCTCCTCTGAGCCACAACCCCAGCACCGGGGTTTTGTTGCCCTCACTCCTGGGGCTTCCCAATGTCCTGCCCTTCTCATTTAATGATAAATGCAGTGTATGTCTATGATCTTTTCTCTATGGTTCTGAACACCAAAAACTTCTGAAAACTTTTCATAATTCATTCGATAGCAACACCTGTCCTAACCTCACCTTGGAAGGAAAACTGAGCCAAAATGTGAATAGTACCCATCCTCCGGGGCTACTATTAAGCACAGCACCTAGCGCAATGCTATTCTACGTTTTACTTTCTCCAGGGGTACCCAATTAGGTAATATCCGTACTCTAGTAGGATCTCATTTGGAGTTGGGTGTGGGAGGAGGGTCCCTGCAAGGGTCAAGGTAATTGTCCAAAGTGCTGTCCCCATCTAGTCAAAGTTGTTGCTGTTGTTGTTTTAATTATTTTTGTATGTATTTTTAGTTGTTGATGGACCTTTATTTTATTCATTTATTTATATGTGGCGCTGCGAATCAAACCCAGTGCCTCACACATCCTAGGCAAGCGCTCTGCCACTGAGCCACAGCCCTAGTCAAAAGTCTCACTTTTATCTTAACATCTATAGGAATTCTGCTTTCCATTTATTAATATAAAACTAGTTTTCGCTTTAAAAGCTTGCTGCAAAGCTGATGCCAAGGGAACAGGAACCTTGTTCCCCACCCGGCTTGACAGCCTCTGGTACACACAGGAAGACCCAGTTCTGAGACCTGAAGGCCAAATGACCAACGATTTTGGCTACTGAACCAAAGCGCCACTTCCTGGCACGTGCTCCGCTCCTCCCGCGGGGCGCAAAGGCGCGGGCTGGACGAGCCGGGATCCGCCCCCTGAGCCTGAGCCTGCCCAGGACCCGCCCCCAGAGCCTGAGCCTGCCCCCTTCTCCGAGTCCCCCTCGGGCTCGCTGCGTCCACCGAGGCTGAGGCATATACCACCGAGCGCCCCGGTGGGGGGGACAGATCCGAGCAGCAGGTTCGGTGCGAGCCTTGCCCCCGTTTCGCTCAGCTTGAACTGGCTCCGCCAAATCTCAGCCCTTTGGGCGACAGGAGCGGCCTCCTGGGAAGCTGTCACGGGTCCCCACGCCTACCGCCCCACCCTCCCTTTCCTCCGGCCCGGCAAGTGGCACAGTCTGAAGGCCGGCCCCGGCGGCGTGGGGCGGGGCCTGCGCCGACGTGGGGCGGGGCCCGGGCGGCGTGGAGGAGGGGCTTGCGTCGGTGCTCGGAGCTCGAGCGGGTGAGGTGCGCGCGGGGCCTGGGTCGCGGCAGCCGGCGGGCGGGATCTGAGCGAGCCGAGGGCGGCTCCGGGCGCGGCGTGCGTGGGCCTGGACTCGGTCCCCGCGCGCCCGTGGCGTCCAAACTTGGCCCTTTGCGGCTGACGCCCGCAGCGGAGCCACAGCAGGCATGCAGAAGCGGGCCTCCAGCCCAAAACCGAGTCGGTCGCGGGAGGGCGCCTCTTTTCCGGACTCAGCCTGGCAGGGGACTGACTGACGAGCACCCCAGTCCAGGCCCAAAGACACCCGGGTCACCTCCCGGGCAGGAGACGCAAATTCACACTTTGGTCTTAGGGGGACAAACACATTGTCCCTTCTGCACACCGCTGTTGGATTGTCATTTACTACCGCTGACCCAGAGGGGACAGACCCTGTGATGCCAGGATAGACGTTCCCCTATACACGTGGTTGACTATAGAACTCCCAGCCGCCTTTGACTCTGGCCCACTTGCAGTTAGCTCAGCATGAATTTGTGTCCCCTGTCCCACCGCAACCAAAGTTAAAAGTCAGTGAGCACCAAAGACCTTGTGGTTTAGGTCAGTCTTATATCCCGGCACTGGCCCCCCCAGGACTCAGGGCTCTGCAGTCCTTTCAACGTCTGGGCCTCTCCAGACTGAGCTTGATATTTATCTGTACAGCTTAGAGCTCCAGTCTGAGTTGAAAGTTCTGGGGCCTCTTCCAACTCCTAGCAGGCTTCATAGGCTGCCCATGATTAGGAATCTGGAGCCAGGCATGAGGTTCCTCATGTTTCCTTTGCAGGGACCCTTGAGGATCATGGACCCTGAATGCTCCCATCTCCTCCCAGCTCTCTGTGCTGTTCTGGCAGATCCCAGGCAGCCAGTGGCAGATGACACTTGTTTGGAGAAGCTGCTGGATTGGTTTAAAACAGTGACAGAGGCAGGTAAGATAATGGTGCTGCTGTTGGCTGTTGGCCAAAGGCCAGAGGATGGTGCAGATCATGGGATAAGGTGCCTGGGGTTCTCCTGGCTATCTGGAATCTTTCTTTCACTTCCTAGAGACTCTCCGGGAAGCTGACTGGGGACAACCCAGGCTGAGGTCTAAGGCACCAGCCTGAGAATCTGAGTTTGAAATTCTTAGCATATCCCTGTTCAGATCACACTAGTTGTTTGCAGAGAGCATGGACAAACTATTTTGTTGTTTTCATTGCATTTTGACTTTTTAAAAAATTTTAATTTATTTTTGGTACCAGGGATTGAACCTAGGAGGTTTTACCACTGAGCTACATCCCCAGCATCTCTCCCTCCACCCCCTTTTTTTGAGACAGTCTCATTAAGTTGCTGAGGGTCTTACTAAATTGCTGATGTTGACCTTGAATTTACAACACTCCTGCCTCAGTCTACTGAGTTGCTGGAATTGCAGGCATGCACCACCATGTCCAACTTTTGTTTGTTTTAAGAAGTCAGATTTTTTTCTTTCTGATTATGAAAGTATAAGACTTGAAAAGTACAAAGAAATAAAGAGAAAAATTAAACCACTGTTGATATTGTATTTTCTTTAGTCTTTGCTAGTTTTAAAGTGTTTAATTTAGCTGGGGGTGGTGATGTACACCTGTAATCCCAGTGACTCTGGAGGTAGGAGGAGCACAAGTTTGAAGCCAGCCTGGGCAACTTAGGGACAACCTGACTCAAATATAAAAAAGATTGGAGCATATAGCTCAGTGGTAGAGCACCCCTGGGTTCAGTCCCCAGTACTATCAACCCCTGCCCCCAACCCACCAAATTGTCTGATGGGAATCTGTACAGACAGTTAAAGGAGCTCACTTTGGCTTTGGATCCGCTTTCCTCCATGTTATTATCTAGCACTTTAGCTTCTTATTTCAGAACCCTTCAATAATGATTTATTTTTAGTTTTTTAAAAATAAATCATACAGCTTAATTTTTTTTTTACAGCTTAATTTTTAATAAACTTGATTTTGGGAAGTATTTTTATTTATAAGACTTTCTTTTTTATTTATAAGACTTTTATGTATAAGACTTGAAAGACTTGCGCTCGCTCAGTGCTTCTTGGGGCTCACCCACGTGCCTATTGGTTGTTTCTGGCTCCCTCCTCTTCTCTCTGCTCTCTTTCCTGTGACAAACTGAAGGCAGCTCTTTGGTAGTCCTTCCCGCACCCCCCACCCCTGGATACTCCCAGCCCTTGATATAAAACGTCTTCCCCACCCCACCGGTACTTTTGGATCCTGTAGTTATGACTCTGAATCTGGGGACAAGGGTCTATTCCGTTGTACTTGTTTGCATGGAACATTGTCCATTTCAGACAAAAGTAATCTTTTGGGAGGTAAAAATTCGTCTTGCTTCAATTTATCTTTTTTTTTTTCCTCCTCCCTGTGGTACTGGGGATTGAACCCAGGAGTGCTCTACCCCTGAACAAAGTTCTCAGCCCTTTTTATTTTGAGACAGGATCTTGCTAAGTTCCCCCAAATGACCTCAAACATGTGATCCTCCTGCCTCAGCCTCCTGAGCAGCTGGGATTACAGGTGTGAGATACCATGCCCTGCTCACATATCTTCCTCATATTCATGGGAATAGAACATGTTTTCAGGGTTCTTGCCACATGTGCTTCTTTGAGGTGTTGGCTCCCTGCTTTCCCCATTAACAAAGTTAGAAGACATTTATTGCAAATATTCCTTTCCAATTGGACTGCTCAGTTCAGCATCCTGAGGAAAAGAGTTTGGAGTCAAATCTGGGGTGGTAACCTGTGTCCCTGATGACCACAAGGTTATGCCTGTCCCCACAGAGTCCAGCCTCCTGCTGCTGCAGGAGAACCCCTGCCTGGTAGAGCTCCTGTCCCATGTTCTGAGACCGCAGGACATGAGCCCCAGAGTCCTCTCCTTTGCCCTGCGCCTTGCTGGGACATTTGCGGCCCAGGAAGATTGCTTCCAGTACCTTCAGGTGAGCTTGGGCCTGCCTGTGTGTCTTGTGGAGATCCCAGAGGCCATCTCAATCCCCACCTCTCAGAGGCTGGCCCTTCTCTGGTGTCTTTACCCCTGGTGTCATTCCTCTTGAAAAAATTCACCAGGAATATTGGGGCTCAGGAGGGGATGTTTTGGAATCAGGCAGAACTGGGATTGGCTCTCAGCTGTGAACTGCTGCATGCCTTGCCAAGTTCCTGAGCCCCCAGCTCCTTCCCATCTCAGAAGAGACTTAGGCCTGTCTCAGAGGGTGCTGTGGAGATTCCATGAGATGACAGAGGCTGCACCTGCAGACCCTGGCTGATGAATGAGTGGGTAGTGAGAGCGTCTGCATGCGAGAGGCGTGAGGGTGGCCCGCTCGGTGGCAGATGCCTGACACCAGCCTCCTGGCACTTCAGATTCCCACGAGGGCATATAAATACTCTTGTCCCCTGTGCCAAGAGTCCTGGGGACATTGTGCCTTTTGGGAGTCACTCGGAGAAAGAGGCATATAACCTCATAAGATTAGGTTGCCTTTCATGAAAGGCTGCTGACTGCCCTCCAGTCTCTGGGAGCTGGTTCCCTGTGTGCAGGGTCAAGGCACACACCTGTTTGTTGCAGGCCCTCAGTTGAGGGTGCACCTTGGGCCTGAGTGGAGTCCTAACATGGCCATGGCTGCACAGTGGTGAGGGACACTATGCTGGAGTTGAATTTAGAGAAGGATCCAGAGACATCATTGGCAGGGCTTCCACCTGTTGCACAGTCAGAAACATGTCCTGAGGCCCCTCCGTCCCTCCCCTGGCACCTATGATGAGTGAAGGATTTCCCGCCCCAGCAGGGCAGGCAGCAGCTGGTTGGGAAGCCCCAGGCTTGGGTGGGCATGGCTGACAGCCATTCTGTAGTGGGACCAGGGGCTCAGGGAATGGCCAGGCTGTCACCAAGGGTGTCCCCTTGGTGAGTCAGCATCAGGTCTTCCCTGCAAGCTACTGAGACCCAGGGTGGCAGGACTCTTGTTGCGTGGACAGGAGATGTAGAACAGTGTGCTGGGGTACACAGGAAGGTCCATGGCAGGTGGCAGTTCAGCAGGGACCTAGTCAACTTTGTGGAAGCAAGACTGGGATCCTGGGCTGGCAGGGTTTGAATGGGTGCAGGAGTGGCCCAAACTGGGATTAGCCTGATTTACCAGGTGCTGGGGCATTCCGAAGGTCTAAAAATGACAGGGTGCAGGACCCCAGAGAAGGAGGTGAGGGGAGATTCTGGAGCTTGGCAGGCTACAGGAAGCGTCAGGGGTTCCGGAGCCCTGAAGGTCATGGTGAGGGGCAGACCTTTGAAGATGATCTCCTGGTGCTGTCTTGGGGGGTGTGATGTCTCAATAGGAGTAATAGGAGAGAGACCTTAGTTGAAATCCTTTTCTTCCTTCCCCTGAAGCCCTCACTCCACAGAGGTGGAGCTGGCTGTGCTGGGGCCCCACTTGCTGGCCCCAGGAGCCGTCCACCTGTCCTGGAAGCACAGCTTGTTGGCAGCTGGTATAAAGTGCCCCATGACACTGCCTCATCCGGTCCTGCAAAACAGAAAGCCCATCTCCTGTCTGCCCTGAATTCCCAGAAACCTGCCGGGCACCCACTCCTTTTTTGCCTCCCAGCAGGGGGAGTTGCTGCTGGGGCTCTTTGGGGAGACGGGAACCCTGGGCTGGGCAGCCTGGAATGTCCCCACCGTGCGCAGTGGCTGGATCCAGGGCCTGAGGGCCCTGGCACGGCACCCCAGCGCCCTGCACTTCCTGGCTGACAGTGGTAAGTGTGGCCTGCCCTACCGGTCCCACCTGCAGGGCCTTGGCATGCCCCAGTGGGGGGTCCCAGGGAGCCCTTGCACCTCACTGAGCCTGGCCTTTTTACTTTGGGAATGGTGGTGGCCCAGGGTTGCTGCCTTGAGCACTCGCGGTAGCCGCAGGGGTGTTCATGCCCTTGGCTCCTAGGCCAGCCCCCAGGAGCCAGTCTTTGAAACTAATTAGAAATAATGAGGAGCCTCTGTGGGTTTGAACCTGGGTAGATGGCACTCTCACCCCTAGGACTACAGTCCCAGTCCTGTCTTGCTTTTGAGTGGGGCAGTGGTTTGGGGCTGGAAGGGCCTCTTGGTGCTTGTATGACTCAGGCTCTTTTTCCTGGGGCTCTGAAGTATGTAATAAAAGTTGTTCTCTGCCCTCCACATTTGGATTGACCCCCGTTTCCTCCCCTCAACTCCCCAGGTGCAGTTGACACCGTCTTCTCCCTGCAGGGAGATCCAAGCCTATTTGTGGCTTCGGCCGCCAGTCAGCTCCTGGTGCACATCCTGGCTTTGTCCATGCGAGGCGAAGCTGTGGAGTGCTGCAGCCCACAGGGCAGTGCCTGGCCTGCATGTGCCCAGAAGATCGTGAGCCACGTGGAAGAGTCCTTGCGCTCCACAGATACCCCACAGGTCACTCAAGCCCTGAACGTCCTGACCACTACCTTTGGACGCTGCCACAGTCCCTGGACAGAGGTTCTCTGGGATCAGCTGAGTCCCCTCGTGGCCTGCCTGCTTGAAAGAGACCCTGTTCCAGCTGGACACTCACTCGTTGACCTCCTCCTCAGTGTGGCCCGGTCAGGTCCCTGGGACATGGCTGGTGGGGGATCTGGTGTGGGAGGTGGGTGCCCTAGGAAGTCTTGGAATAGCTGCTACACCTGAGAGTCGTCATTGGCAGCCAGAGATGGAGTTGCTCCCCCCACCCGCACCCAGAATGCTGTCTTGAAGGGAGCACCCCTGGGGAGGGTCTTGACACCTTCACCCCTGAGAGCTACAGGGTCTGGGCACCTCCAGCCAGGGTCTATGGCAGTCCTGAATGGGTGTCATGGGGCTTGAGAGGATGGAGGAGTGATTTTCTCTCTCTGGGGTCCTCTGCAGTTCTCCTGTGTTCAGTTCTACAGACTGTGGCCTGTGGGAGACGGTGGCTCAGACTCTGAGCCGTCTGAGCCCCACTCAAGCTGGACCTCTGGCCTTAGGAACACTGAAACTCCAGCACTGGTACGATCAGCATTGCTTTGTGCTAAGCAGGGGCACTGGGAGCTGGGCAGAGAAGACAAGAGGGTGGTGCTCATGGTCAGGGAACCTTGGGAGCCAGGGAGAGCAGCAGGCCTGGCAGGGCATCACGGGGGCAGGGGCAGGCATTGGTGCAGCTGATGGCAGCTGTGCTTTCTTTAGCAACAGAAGAATGATTTCAAACAAGAGCTTTAGAAGATCCTCAGATGAAGCTGATTCTGAGAGCTGCTGTATTTGGGGCAATGAGCTCAAAGAGCCCCGTGGGGGTACACCACAGAGTGGGCCAGGTATTAGAGAGGAAAAGGGTGTGGAAAACTTTCTAATATCCCCAGTGGGCTTATATGGGGGATGCTGATGGGCATAGCACCCTCCCAGAAGGGCTAGGAGTGTGAGGGCCTGGGGTCTGATGACTGGATGGTCAGGAAAGAAAACGGACAAGAGCGTAGATGCAGGCATTTTGCACTCTAGAAGCTGCGAACGTAGCTTCCTCTCTAGGTTGGGCAGGCCCTAAGAAAGGTCATCTCCAGTCACTGCATGCAAGTCACTGGCAGGGCATCATGGGCACTGCCATCCAAAGGCAGGGACTCCCTGTTACCCTGACCCAGACACAGCGTGTCTGAAACCCAGTGGTTGCTCCTGAGGATGCCAGGGCCAAACCTTGTGCGTCTTGGTCAGGATTGACCCTGACCTCCATCTGTGGAGTCCCCTGGTTAGTGACCTGAAAAAAGGCTGGTTCTCAGGCTGTGCCAAGCCTCCACTTTGTGCTGATTTGCTCTGGAGCCAGGGCAGCAGCCTTTACTGGGTCCTCTGTCTCTAGTCCACAGGCACTGAGGACTCAGGCCTTTGGAGTCCTCCTCCAGCCCCTGGCCTGTGTCCTGAAAGCCACCATTCAGACCCCTGGGTCTCCAGGTATGTATGCTTTGTGGTGTGGAGAGGGGGGAACCTGTGCCCTGGGCAGGTCCAGGGTTAAGGGAAGGATGATGATCAGCAGGTACCCAGCTCCTGCAAGCCCAGTTTTGCTCATATGCTGGCCTCCTACCATGTGAAGGTAACCAGGGAGTGGGCCCGCATCCCTGGACGAGCTGCAGCTCTGAACCTGGGCCCTGGCTTCTGCTTTGGGCAGTGATCACTTCAGGGAGCTGTTCCTGGTTTGGCCTGCAGGCTTGCTGGATGGGACTGTGGGCGGCTCCCTGACCGTGGATGCACTCCTGTCCTCCAAGTCGGCCTGTGCGGGGCTCCTGTGCCAGACTCTGGCTCACCTGGAGGAGCTGCAGCCACTGGTATGTGTGACCCTGGGCTTATAGGCAGCAGGACTCGTGGTCTCTGCTGACACTTTCTTTTTCCCTGCAGCCCCAGCGCCCCTCACCCTGGCCCCAGGCACCCCTTCTAGAAGCTGTAGTGACCATACTGCGACTTTGCAATGGCTCAGCTGCCCCCAGCTCCAGTGTAGGGGGCCGCCTCTGTGGGACCCTGGCTGGCTGCCTCCGGGTCCAGCGAGCAGCCCTTGACTTCCTGGGGACACTGTCTCAGGGAACAAGTGAGTGACATTGTGTCCTCTGCACGCGTTTCCTCTCTGCTCAGTCTTGAGGGAGCTGCCGAGGCCCTGCGCAGCCCCTGCTCAGCTGTCCCCTGCTCTACCAAGGCTTGGGTTTGCCTGCTCCCTGGAGTGGGTGGGAGATGTGGCTCCTGGGGCAGGAGTTGGGGTGACTCACCCATTCGTATCTGTCTTAGGCCCCCAGGAGTTGGTGCCACAGGTGTTTGCCGTCCTCCTGGAGTACCTCGAGAGCCCTGACTCCAGCCCCACGGTACAGGGACCGGTTCTGGGAGGCAGGCAGAGCTAGTGCGTCCTCCCCATGCAGGCCTCCTGGAATGGGGCCTTTGCATGGGCCAGCAGAGCTGCTGCTCTGGGCAGGGCTGCGTGGGGTTTGGGCCCAGGACATGGTGTTGGTGAAGCTTAAATATGAGGGGGCCCTTAGGGCATGGTGAGCCAGGGGGATGGTCCAGGCTTTCTGTAGGGAATTCTTTCTGAGAAAAGGGAATTGAGCCAAGATGGCCCTTATGCTTAGGGTTCAAATTCTTAGAAGTGTATCCATTTTCTTGAGGCACAGATTTAGAGTCATGGGCCATTGGACACAGTGGGCAGATTTGGAGGCCGGGTTGGGGGTTCTTGGGGCTTTAAGGGAAAGGTACCCTGGATAGTTTGTCCTGGCTTGATAGAGAAACCCCATTACCCCAGGCAGGACTCCAGGTGAGGGCTGCCCTCCTGTCCCTCTCGGTCCGGGAAGCTTGTCCTGGCTTCCACACTGGGCTTCTGCCTCCCGGCAGGGGCAGCTTGGTGCAGGCTGGTGGGCGGTGGCTCCCCCCTGCTGCCCTGCAGCCTGCCCTGCCCTGCCTGCTCTAGGTTCTGAAGAAGGCCTTCCAGGCCACGCTCGGGTGGCTCCTGAGCTCACCCAAGACCCCCGGCTGCTCTGATTTTGGCCCCCACATCCCGCTGTTCCTCGGAGGTAACCCCAGCCCCCCGCAGGGATACCCTGAGCCAAGAGTTGCAGGGTGGAGGCATCCGGGGGTTGGGCAGGAAGGTCCATCTGGCTCAAGGGCAGGGTGAATGGCACTGGAGTCCACTCTGACCACCCTTCCTGCCCCAGAGCTGTTCCCCGTGCTACAGAAGCGCCTGTGCAGCCCCTGCTGGGAGGTGAGGGACTCGGCCCTGGAGTTCTTCACGAATCTGAGCAGACACTGGGGAGGTGAGTACATGGTGGAAAGAAGGCCCTTGTGTCCACTGGCTCTGGTACTCTGACCACATAGGCTGCCTTCTGGAGATGAGAGGCGGGAATCAGCCCATGGTCACCACTGCTGTGGGTGTTCGTTCCCCAGGGCAGGCCGACTTCAGAAAAGCACTCCTCTCTTCAGAGGCACCCACGCTCACCCAGCAGCTTCTCCGAGACCCTGAGAGTTACGTCCGAGCAAGCGCAGTGACCGCCATGGCTCAGCTCTCTAGCCAGGGCCTACAGGCCACCCTCGCCAGCCCTGAGCACCCAGAGACCGAGCAGGTAGGAGGCAGTGGGTTCCTCTGCTGTGTGCCCATGCTGTGCAGCCATTGGTAGTTGTGTGCGTGTCCAGCGGTGTGTAGCCAGCTGGCCAGGTCTGTAGCAGCTGCTTCTGGGGACAGTGCTGGCAGGAACAGCCATGAGGAGCCGGGAACAGCTGGGCATGGCACCCACATTCTTCCCAGCACCTCTGCCTCTTAGACCCCCTCTCCCAGATGAGCAAATGACAGATGAGCTGAAGGGCAGTGTGTACCAGGGCCTGTCACGTGAGGGAGCCAGAGCAGCATGTGGCCTGAGCCTGTGTTCCCAGACTGGAGCCCTGGCTTCCTGCTGTGTCCCCAGCACTGCCCTCCTCAGGCCGTGTCTCCTGCCCTCTGCCTGCAGGGCCTGCTCAAGGAGTTCCTGCACATTCTGTCTGCAGACTCCGAGGGCTTCCCACGGAGGGCGGTCGTGCAGGTCTTCACCCAGTGGCTGAGGGATGGCCATGCTGAGGTCGCTCGGGACACGGAGCAGTTTGTGGCTACTGTGCTCCAGGTGGTGAGCCAGGACCTGGACTGGGAGGTGCGGGTGCAGGGCCTGGAGCTGGCGCAGGTGTTCCTGGCCCAGAAGTTGGGACAGCCTGCCCATTGTCCCTATGCAGTGGGCCTGCCTGAGGGCCCCTCACCTGGCCTGCGCCCTGAGGTGCTGCGGAACCTCTGCCAGCCTTGGCTCCTTGAGTTTGCCTTTCGTGCCTTGTTTGACTGTGACAGACCCGTAGCCCAGAAGGCCTGTGACCTCCTCCTCTTCCTGAGAGACAAGACTGCTCCCTGTGCTGGCATGCAGGAAACTGGGGACAACCCCTGCCTGGACTCTGTGGAGGCTATTCTGCAGAGGTGGCAGGCGGGTGAGCAGGGCCAGTCCCTGGGGGACCCAGAGCCTGAGGCCATGCTGGCTGTCCTGAGGTCCATAGATCTGGAGGGCCTTCAGGGCAGGCTGGCCGAGAGCAGTGACCACGTGGAAAAGAGCCCACAGTCCCTCCTGCAAGACATGCTGGCCACGGTGGGAGTGCTGGAGGAGAACGAGGCTGACTGCTACTGAGGCCGTGCCAGCTCCTCCACAGGCCCTGCGTCCCAGTGCTGCAGCCAGGCTGCTGGGAGGGACTCTCCCGGAAACTGACCAAAACCCCCACATTCTGATGTGTTATTTTAAAAGTGGCTTATTTTCTACTCAAGTAGAACTAAAGTCTTTAATCCACTTCAGGGTGATTTTGTACTTGGTATAAGACAGGGTTGGGTTTCCTTCCTTACCTGGTTGACAGTTTCCCACCTGTGTTCGAAGGGAGCTCCCTCCCCAGCAGGCCTGTCTCCCCAGCAGGCTGCACTCTTGGCCGCCCTTGTGGGTGAGGGCTTGTTTCTGGGCCCTCTGCTGTCCCTGGTCTGTTTGTCTGTTGTGGCCACTCCAGCTCCACAATAGCCCCTGAAGTCGGGCAGCATGATTTCCATCAACTTTCATTTTTCTTTTTCAAAGTCGCTTTTCCATTTGGGGTCTTTTGTGACTTCACATGAATGTTACTGTTGCTCTTTCTATTTCTGTGAAAAGTGCCACTGGGCTTTTGGTTGCAACTGCCCTGGGTCCGTAGGCCACTTTGGGGAGTGTAGCCATTTTAACACCACAAGTGACTCCGCCCTGAGCCCAGGACCTTTTCCCCTGTGTTTGTGTCTTTAGCTCCTTTCTCTGTCTTCCTGTCTTCAGTGTTCAAAGTTTTCACTCTGTAGTTACATTTATTCCTAAGTAATGTTGTTGTTGTTGTTGTTTTTGGTGCTATACAAATGGGACCATTTTCTTCTTCAGGTGGTTCACCTTTAGCTGATGGTTGTATGTCGTCTTTTGTATCTTGAAACTTCACTGAATTTGTTTACTTAACCATGTTTTGGTGCAGTCTTCAGGGCTCTCTGCATACGAGATCATGTCATCGGCAAACAGATGATGATTTTCTTCCTCCCCCTCTGATTTGATACCTGTTGTTTCTTTTTCTTGCCTAATCTCTCGGCCACGGACTTCCAGCCCTGCTGGGGAAATGGCGAGTGGGCTCCCTGGTCTTGTTCCTGATCTTAGAGGAAAAGTGTCACTGATGAGTCTCATGTTGGCTGTGCTCGTCACTCGTGGTCTTTATGAAGTTGAGGTACATATCTTCTGTGCCTAGTTTGTTGAGTGTTTTCATCATGAACTACGTTGAGTGCTTTTCTGCCTCTATCAAAATGGTCATGTGATTTTATTCCTCTGTTAATGTGAACCATCCTTGTACCCCAGAAATAAATTCCATCTGATCATGGTGAATGAGACTTTCAATGTGTTACTGAATTCTGTTTGCTGATACTTGTTTGAGAATTTTTTTTTTTTTAATTTTTGAGAATTTTGTTCATCAGGAATGTTGGCCTATAATTTTCTTTCTTAGGGCATCCTTAGCTGACTTTGTTATGAGGGTAAAGCAGGCCTTGTAAAATGAGTTGGGAACCATAACACTTTCGGGAGAAAACATAGGAATATAGTTCCTTGACTCTGGTCTTGGCAAAGATTTTCTTAAGATAAAACACCAAAACTAAAAATGAACAAAACCCAAGACAGGTGCTGTGGCACATCCCAGTGACTTGGGAGGCTGAGGCAAGAGGATCACAAGTCAGAGGCCAGCCTCAGCAGTGAGGCTTTAAGCAACTTAGCAAGATCTTATCTCAAAATAAAAAGGTTCTGGGGATGTAGGTTGTGGTAAAGTGCCCTGAGCTCAATCTCCCGTATGAAAATTAAAATTAAAAAAAAATAACCAAAACCTACCAGTGGGACTATATCAGGCTGAACAGCTTCTGCGCAACTAAGGAAATAACAAAGACGCAGCCTGTGGAATGGGAGACAATATTTGCAAACCATACATCTGATGAGAGATTAATATCTAAATATAAGGAACTCACACAACTCATTAGCAAAAAATCAAATGACCTGATTAAAAATGGGCAAAGACATTTTCCCTAAATAGACATTTTTTCCCCCAAAGAATAGAAATGAAAAGATCTTCAACATCACTAATCATCAAAAACACTAGGGCTAGGGATGTGGCTCAGTGGTTGAGTGTGTGTTTAACATGCTCCAAGGCCTGGGTTTGATCCCCAGTGCCACAAAAACAAAAAAAAACAAAACCAAAATAACATTTCACCTCATATCTGTGAACAATTGTTATTAAAAAGTAAATAACAAGTGCTGCTAAGTATGTGGAAAAAGGGATTTTGCACACTATTTGTGGGTGTCCTTACACACTATTTGTGGGGGTTCCTTGGTGTACCCCCTGTGTAGCAGTGTGGAGGTTGGGGACAATCACATGACCCAGCAGTCCACTCTCAGGTGTATATCCAAAGGAAAGGAAATGAGCCTTTTGAAGAGGCGTCTGCACCCCGCTGTTCACTGAAACTACATATACACAACAGAAGACTGTTTAAAAAAAAAAAAAAGGAAATCTTGCCATTGCCATTGTGACAACATGGATGAACCTGGAAGACATTACGCCAAGTGAAGTAAGCCAGAAACAGAAAGACATAGATTGTGTGATCTCACTTAATCCCAGTGACTTTGGAGGCTGAGGCAGGAGGATCACAGGTCACAGGCCAGCCTCAGCAACTCAGTGAGGCCTTAAGCAACTTAGAAATCTAGAAACAGGGAATTCACAGAAGCAGAGCAGAATGGTGTTGCCAGGGGCTGGGCTGGGCTGGGCTTGGGGAATGGGGAGGGACGTTATAACTTTTGATTAAAAGATGGAACAACTTCTGGGAGCTATTGCACAGTGTGGGTGATGGTGGATGTGTTAATTCCGTTACTGCTTTAGCTTTTTTGCTGCTGTGACCAAAGAACCTGACAAGAACAGTTTTAGAGGAGGAAAAGTTTATTTGGGGCTTACAGTTTCAAAGATCTCAGTCCATAGATGGCCGGCTCCATTGCTGTGGGCCCAGGATGAGGCAGAACGTCATGGTGGAAGGGTGTGGAGGAAAGCAACTCAGGACATGAAGATTAGGAAGCAGAGAGAGACCCTGCTCTCTAGGGACAAAATATAAACCCCAAAGGAACACCCCCAGAGAACTACCTCCTCCAGCCACACCCTACCTGCCTACAGTACCATCCAGTTAATTCATTCAGAGGATTAATGCACTGATTAGGTTAAGACTCTCCTAACCCAGTCATTTCACCTTTAAACTCTTTGAATTGCCTCACACTTAAACTTTTCAGGGACACCTCATACCTAAACCATAACTGTTATGTTAATTATTACATACAAAAATAACATCACACTGTACATCTTGAATATATCCAATTGTTGTTTGACAGTTTGACATGTTTATTGTTTAAGTGGTACCTGACAGTGCTTCTGAGTTGACACTTTGTTCTGAGCCTGGCTGGGCAGACGCCAGGCCTTGGGGGAAAGTGTTGGAGAAGCATCTCTGGAGAGATTCCTCTGTAGCATGGCCCATATGATTCATGGGCATTTAGGGGACACCCACGGGAAACCCCAAGTGCCTTGTGATTCCCAGGGTCCGAGGGCAGGTGGCACTGGCTGGAGACTGTCTCCGACTTTGGTCCTCAAAGCAATAACCCAGGTGTCAGCCAAACCGAGTTCAGGCTTCCAATCTTTGACCTCCAGGTTCACCTTGCAGTGGTTCAAAGTCAATGGTCAGGTACTAGGCAGGTGGGGCTGATCAGAGTAAGATCAGGAGGGGTGAAGACCCAGGCAGGCCCCTGTGGACCATGCAGGCTCAAGGCCTGCCCTCTCATTTCTGGGCTGTGTGACCTTGACAAGCCACCAGGTCTCAGAACCTACCTCCTTATGTGTACATGGGGCTTTGCCATCATCCCTTAGGTAAGTGTAGGTCATCCTGATGCTCCAGGCACAGTGCCATCTGCCAGGGAACTGGTGTTGGGTGAGCCTCCCTGCTGGCCTTGTCCGTGCATATGTGGGATTGGGGGGGCCCCCAAATGTACCCATCTGCAGAATAAGTAGCTTCAGCTGGGCTTGAGGAAGTGGTGAGATACTGGAGGGCAGTCGGGCCCAACCTGACCCTGGGAGGCCTGAGCGTCTGTTGCCCAGTGGTTACCTGCTCCCACAGCCTTGTTTGAGACTCCAGTGTCATCATGGTGCAGTCCAACCTGTGCAGACTTAGGTCTGGCCCTGTGGGGAGTGCCAGGACCTCCAAACAGCCACCGCGTGTCATCACAGGTGTGACTAAGGGCAGAGACCAGAAAGGAGGAGCCCTAGAGGCCGAGGCTCTGAGCTAGGAGAGGTTCTACAGGAGTAGGGGGCCCCTTGGCTTGGTGTTCTGAGAGCAAGCAGACCCTCCCTTGGTACCTACAGCCCCTGACTTAGTCACCCACTTTTTTCAGTCACTCATCAAATGGCACTTGGGAGGCCCTATGTGTCAGGGTTTTGGGAATAGAGCTATTGTGATTCCCCCTGCCCCACTGCCTTACTGGGAACTGAATCAGGGTGCTCTCCTACTGAGCTACACCCTAAAAAAAAAAAATAAAAGCTACACCTTTTTGTTGTTGTTGTTCAGTACCAAGATTGAACTCAGGAGCGTTTCACCACTGATCCACATCCCCAGCTCTTTTTAAATATTTTATTTAGAAATAGGGTCTCTCACAGAGTTGCTTAGGGCCTTGATAAATTGCTGAGGCTGGCTTTGAACTCGCAATCCTGCTGCTTCAGGCTCCCATAGTACTGGGATTACAAGCGTACACTGGAGCCTGGCAATTTTTTTTTTTTTAATTCTAGAAGGTCTTGCTTAATTGCCAAGGCTGCCCTTGCAGTCTTCCTGCCTCAGCCTCCTGAGCAGTGACTTGCTGAGATTCTAGGCAGGTTTCGCCGGGCCTGGCAACAGCTGCTGTAAGGTGAACATGGTCTGTCCCTTCTGAAACTTGTGAAATGCGCCATTGGTGGTGGCAGTTAGGTTAAGGGACACACACATTTCTCATGGGTCTGGAGTAGTGACTGCAGGAGAGGGTGGCTGTAAAGTGATGCCAAATTGGTGACCCTTCTTTCTACCGCGAGATGAAGTGGCACCGGTCCTGACCTGCACTCCTGGACTTCTCAGCTTCCAGAAATTTTGCCAGAATAAGCCTCGATTCTTTATTAATGGCCAGGCCCTGGTATTCCAGTATGGCAACCGGAAGTAGACTGGGACAACATTGTGACCCCAGGGCCCCCAGGGCCCATCATGGAACTCCTGGGGCACGAACAGCAAGCCCAATGTGCTATACATGTTCTTGAAAGTGGTGACAGAAATGTAAATACAGAGAGAAAAATAACGGGGAACCTTTATTCTACCCCAGGCGTAATGCCCCAAGCATAGTGTTTACCAATCCCAAAGAAAGAACTTGGAGGACTCAGCGGAGAGGGTTTGGACATTTTACCGCTCACTCCTCAGCGGTGGCAGGCTGGAATACTGTGGAGGGACACACCGTACCTAAGAGCGGGGAATTATATGGGATAGGCTGCATGGCTGCTTGCTGATGGATTTCTCCAGATGTTCTATGAACCCACTCTTTTACTTTATAACCAAGGTCACTCCGCTTTGATCTTCATCTAAAGATGGAGACCAGGGAAACAGCCAGCTTCCCCTCTCCATTTTCTTTGTGATCACATTCTTAGGAGGACTTCTTATCTCAGTGCCTAGAACAAGGAGCTTTCCTAGACGCTGTCCGCCTCCCCTGTAGGGGTGGGCTGCTGGAGGCGGAAGACTGGGGACTTCTAGGCCAAACCTCAAGGATAAGAAGTCACCAGCTACAAGAGGCGCCATCCAGGTGGAAGCTCATGGTGTGTCAGAGGCCTTGCCGAGGGAGGAGCTAGTGTGAGGCCTACGCTGGGAACTGGGGAGGCCACTTCCCTGGGAAAGGAGGAGGAGGGTGAGGGCTTCAGCCCTTGGGGTGGAGACCATTCAGTCCCACCCAGGTTTTCCAGTTCCCTATCAGGACCCATATCAGGTAGGAAACCAGAACAACCAGTGGCGAGGGAGCCTGTGTTTTAGGAATGCAGAGAACCCAGGAATGAGATGCTATGAGAAGCCCAGGAGACATCACTCCATAGGTACCCAGCGAGTCGCAGTGAGAACATTACTGGGAAGGGAGAAGAACTGGACCCACACCTCGTTTTCAGGTGAGGCTCGGGAGGGAAGCCCCACAGACTCTGGACTTTGGTGCCTCCCCTACATCAGTGGAGCCTCCTGGAGTGGGGGAAATGGGTGTAGTCAGCAGGAAGGGAATGGAGAGGTGGGCTGTGAGCCCAGAAAACTGAGGGGCCAACCCCAGGGTA